GCGGGCGCGAGCTGCGGCGGGAAGGAAAGAGTCTGAAGAGCGGGGGGCACCGGCTCGGCCTCTGCAAGGTGTTTGAAAATATTTGAACGACGGAATGGTCAATTTTGGGAGTAGGGCAGCGGGAGGGTGGGCAGGCATGGGCGCAGCCTGTGCGTACACCCGACGGCCTTTGCGCCACAACCAAAGCAACCAGGCAGCACAGCAACGCCGCGCCCGGCTGCCCTGCGCGGAGGCCTTGGCAAATTCGAGGCAGAGCACAGCCTACTACCCGCGCCGCTCGGCCTTCGACTCCCCTGCCTAATCTCTACCCCCCCTCCCTCCAAACCGCACAGGTGCCACAGGGTTGGCTCACCCAGCTGCGCGGCGCGCCCCTGCCCGAGCCACGTCGGAACCAAGTGCTCGTCCACCCGCCCCGCGGCCCGCAGCGCCCTCAGCGCCTCCAGCGCGGCCAGCTTCTTAGCCAGCTTCCGCACGTCGTCGTTTTTGGGCGGCTTGGGTGGCTCCCTGGCTTCGGCGGGCCCGGAGAGCCGCCCATAGGTCTCCTTTGAGACAAGCCGGCCCTCTATGCGCGCGCCGCGCAGGCCGGCGTTTGAGGGCAGCCAAACGGTACTGCGGAAGCCGAGGGAGCTCTGGGCGCCTGGGGGGCCGGACATGACTTCGCGTGTCATGTAGAGGGGCTGCAGGATCGTCGACCTGGTGACGAGGCGGGCGTCATGTGAGAGTGACAGGGCCCTGAATTGACACGCCATCACAGACAGGCTGCCATTTATACTGCTGTAGGTTAAGTTTGCGGTTGAAGTTTGGCTGCTGCTGAACATCCAAGGGGCTCGTGGATTTGGAAGCCCCCTCAAACAGCTGCGGCACGTGCAGGTCAACGCAAGTTTGACCAATCCAGTTTCCGCGGGGCCGGCGGGAAGGCGGGCCAGTGCTCGCACGCCAAGTGCCGCCGCCGCCGCCCGCATCAGCGCCCCAGCAGGCGCACCCGTCGACCCCCGGCAGGCGGGAGCAGTAGATCGCCAGGAACACCTGCGCCAGCTGCGGCGTCACGACCGCGCCGCCCTCGATGCGCAGCACCGCCTCGTCATCATCGGATGCCTCCAACGGGCCGGCCTGCCAGCTGGCGGGCGGCCCTGCCTCCTGCTGCAACTGCGCCTGCGCCCTCATCGCGGCCGCGTCGCGCTCCGCCTGCCTGTGCGTGTGTTGGTGCGCACAAAGCCGCGACTCCTTGGGATCCGGACCGGGGCAAACGACATGCACTGCGGTAGGGGCTCAGACGAAACACCTTTGCCCCATCCTAAGCATCAACGCATTGTTCGGCTGTTGTCATGCCATTGAAGAGGGCCCCCCCCCCCGCCCAGCAAAACAGGGGCGGAGCAGGGAAGCGCAGGGCGATGCGCACGCTTCGCGCTCGCTGGGCGACTTGGCCTTGCGCGGCGGGGGGCTGGGGTGCATAAGCAGAAAATTGGAGTCCCGCGCACGGCCGCGGCCCCTGTCGCGGCGCGGTTCGGCAGGCGGGGAGGCGGGCAGGCGGGCCGGCGACGCGGCGGTTTCGCCAGCTCAGCTCTTGAGGCGACCAGGGGAGATATGAGGGTCAAGGCAGGGCCTGGGCCGCAGCTGTCAGCCATATATTGTTGGGTGACATGACAGGCATTTTGGGAGGCTGACGGCCCCGCAAGCGGGCTAGATGGAGGTGCCAGCGCTTGGTCGAATGGGGGCCAATCGGAGAGGCTGCCCCAAAGCATGATTGTTAGCGCGCAGCCTCGGCCCTGCCGCGGCTTGATGACACGCACGTGCAGTCCCTGAATCCAGAGTCGGCCCTGTGGCTGGGGTGGTGTGGCGCAGCTTGCGCTGATCTGGACCCTCACCCCGGCCCCCACCCCTCTCAACCCCCACACCACCCCAACGCCCACCCCTCCCGACCCCAACCCCCACCCCATCCACCTGGTCTGAATGAACTTGAGGGTGTTGTCTGGGGGGTCGAACGACACCACCAGCTGGCACTGACGAAAGTCCATACCCTGAAATGCAAGAGACATGTGTCAGCGGTGCTGTTGTGGCGTGCGCATGCTGGCTGGTGGCGGGAGCCCCGTCTGGGGCGGGCCCTTGGGAGGCGGCCCGGCGCAGCAGCAACAGGCGGGGTGGCGTGCAGTGCGAGCAGTCCTGCAGCTGGCTGAGAGCGAACTTGCGATCGCCGGGCGCCGCCTGACAAGGGCCTCGACCAAGGAGGTAGGTGCACAGGGACCGCAGGCGGCGACCCCTGAGCCGCCGATGGTTCTCTGCCATCCTGTGTGTTGCGCACCTCCTCCCCGACGCCCGTGGCGAAGAGCAGGTTGAGGTCGCCGCCGCGAAACCGGCTGACCACGCGCCGCTGGGCCTGTGATAAATTTAGGGGCCGCCGCCGGCGTGTACGTGGGGCGGGCGACGGGGAGGAACAGCGGTGCGAACCAGCGCTCACGGCTGCCCGCTGCCATCATGCTGGGCAGAAAGGCGATTTGAGCGGCCTCGTGCCAAGCCTACATGAGCGCCAAGCATACTCTTGGCGTTTGTGAGGGTGAGGGTGCCACAGACAAGCCATGCACGGCGCCATCACAAAGCAGGGAGCGCCGCAGCCAACGATCGCACTCGCGTCTCACCGGCACGCTCATGACGCCGTCCTCCGCGCCGCCCGTCGTGTTGTGCCCGAGGAACGCCCGCGCCCGCAGCGCGCCGCGCGAGCGCGGCAGGCTGCGCGCGAGGCGCTCCAGCACCAGAGCCATCAGGCGCGTCTTCACGAAGACGATGCAGGCCCAGCCGTCGCCGGCGGCGGCGGCGGCGGCGCGGCGGGCCGCGAGCTCGGCCATAAGGGTTGTGACCTTGGGGGTCAGGAGAGGGGGGTCCCGGCCGCCCCAGAGGACAGCCGCGGGGCCGCCCGCTATTTGCGACGCGCCCTGCACGCGTAGAGGCGCGGTGGGACGGCGGATGCGTCCGGATCAGCAGGATGAGTAGGAAGAGCTGGCAGGCGGGAAGGGGAAAGGGGATGGCCAGTGAAAATAAAAGGGATGCTGCAGCAGGCGCGAGTTGTCAAAGACCCAAGCCATCGTAATGATACGCCTTGATGAGCTTTTTGACTCAGCGCCTTTGAGGCTGTGCGCAGTCGCTCACCCCGCTGTCGAGCTGTATCGCATCCTCCAGCACCTGCAGCCCCAGCCGCCTCATCAGCCGCTCTGTCAGATGGCGCCAGCCGCCGCTTCTCCGTCCGCCGCCGCCCTCGGCGGCAGCAGTGGTGGCGCGCACGTCTGAAGAAGCATGGGATCGGCGGCGGTGTCTGGTTGCGCCTGATCATGGGCGCGTCTGGCTTTTATAGCACAAGACGGTTGGCGGACTTTGACCAGAACGGCGCAGCAGCAAACGCATTGCGCAGAGCGTCAAGGATGGGAGCGGCAACAGCAGCCAGCCGGCGCTCACAAAGAAGTCTGGGACATCAAGGCGGTCGGCGTGCACGGCCGAGCGCGTCAACACCACTCCTCACCTTGGATGAATGACGTCAGCGCCACGTCATCGCCGGCAAACACCTGCGCCCCCAGCCAGCCGAGCACCTCCTCCACCGCCACCTTCACCGCCAGGGCGCTCAGCCGCTCGCTGCTGTACCAGCCCCCACCCTCGACCGGGCCGCCGCCGCCCATGACGCCGACGGCGGCGCCGCGTTGGTCATCATGTGGCGCCGCGCACGCTGCAATTTGGCTATCCTGGAGGCTACAGTGGTCCCAGGTGGCCGCCGCGTCCCGCAGTTGCTCCGCCACAAGCCACTGCTCCGCCCTGCGTGGTTGCAAGGGGCGAAAAGGAAGGCGGCGGGCGATTATTTGTGTGAACGCGGCAGTCTGTCCTGTTGTCTGGAAGTCGAAGCAGTTGCGTCTGATCAGCACCCCTTTTTTGAACGCCATCAACTTTCTCACCGAAGAGTTGGCTGTGGCACCTGGCGCGCTTGGCCGGCCTCATTCAGGATCCGGATTTCCCACCCTGTCATGCTGCTGCACGCCGCTGCAGGCCCACTGATAGCTTATTCAGCCACCATCCCCCCTGTCCCATCGGGTTGCTCGCCTGAGCTGCTTTACCAAGACCTCCCCTGACGTCGGTCCCAGCTCATCTTCGGACGCCAGCTGGTACAAGATCGCATCCATCCTGAGATCATCAACCTCGGACGCCTCAAATCTGCTGCCTCGGACACCCTCATCCTCGGACTCAAAGGCGTTCGCTGCAGAAGGCGCCAGCAGGTCCACATGCGCCGCCGCCAGCCCGCACCAGAGGCCGCCGTCCCTGCAGCACGCGAGCAGCTGCGAGATCTGTTTCTTGGCCGCCGCCGCGGCGCCAGCGGCGCCTGGGGGCGGGCCGTCGGGCCGGAAGGGGCGCGAGCTGCTGCCTGGGATGGAGAGTGAGTGGGTCTGGTCGGGATCAGTGCAGGAGACGCTTGTATGTTTGCTTGTGTGCCAGTTGTTGCAATCTACTTTTGCCATGGAAGCCTGGAGAATGTTCGTCATGCACACCATCGAACAATGATTTCCAGCGGCTGCGTCATGTTATACTCCTAAAACCTGCCTAAGGCTGGAACTGTCCCGACAAACGCGCAGCGGCGGCGGTGGCGGCGGCAGTGCGCCAACCATGACGAAGGGATATGTGAACCCACCCTCCAGCTCGCCGGCGCTGATGAGCTCCTCCTGCATTGACAGCTGCCACTCCAGCTTCTCCATGCTACAACGGATAAGGGTTTGGCGATGATGAGATGGAAGCAGGGGGCCGGAGTGATTTTCTCTCACATGCAAAATGTGACGGAAAGAGTGGCAGGACATGGGAAACACAGCAAAGGCAGGGGACCAAACAGGCAGAGAGAGATTGGCGCTCTATTCACGGATCTCTGTGTGCGGTTGTGCAGGAGCAGGCAGGATCGAGCAGCTGCGCAGCTCTGCGGCCCCCTTCCGCCCCAAGGTGGGCGGCGCACTGTCGGCGCCGCGCGCACCTCGCAGCGCCTGCCAGCAGCCCCTTTAGGACCCTGGACTCCAGCTGTGCTACAGCCGTGGCGTCGTACGCGCTGTAGGGGAGAGCGCTCGTGGTGGGGGTGGGCACCAAGCGCTCCAGATTCACCCTGGCAAGCGGGATGCGGGGTGGGATGCGGGGTGGGATGCGGGGTGGGATGCGGGGTGGGATGCGGGGTCGGATGCGGGGTCGGATGCGGGGTGAGGGGTTCGCAGGCCGCTGTTCAAGGTGGGGGGTGCAATTGATGTAAGGGCACGTGCATGCTTGGGGGGACTATGCAGCGAGGGGTGCCTGGATGGCAGCAGTGACGTGATGGCAGCAGCGACGTCGGGTTTGCAGCCAGGGTTTCTCCTAGGCAGCCAGGCGAGCACCTCTCCCTGTCGGTCGCAGTCGCCAGGCGGCAGCCCAGGGTCTCGTCCAGGCCCTCTTCAGGGGAGGCCGTGAGCCCGAGGACGAGCGGCCTGCGATCGGCCGGTCCGAGAAAGTGGCGCGTGATCTGGGCGTAGGGGTGGTTGCCTCGGCAGTGGTGGGCCTCGTCAAAGACCATGAGGGTGATGTGGCGGGACACCTGCGGGGTGGTCGACGATGGGGGATCATTGAGCGTAAAGGAAGCGTTCAAAAGTGGAAAGGAAGCTGTGGGTGTGGAGACACATCTGGGTCGGGGGCACACTGGTGGCACGGGACTGCGGCCCCCAGCTGGGGCGATGGCGACAGTTGTGGTATGAGTGGCGGCGAGAGTGTGGAGTCACACGATGACTGCAGGAGCTGATGAGATCCATCAGCAGCTGCAAACAGGTGAGCAGCTCGTAGCTGCTGGCGCCTGATGCAGAACGCTGGCACCTCTCTGCCAGCGCAGCTGCGATGGCGGCGACGGCGACGGCGACGGCGACGGCAGCAGCAGCAGCAGCAGCAGCAGCAGCAGCAGCAGCAGCAGCAGCAGCAGCAGCAGCAGCAGCAGCAGCAGCAGCCATCAGGTGGTAGGGATTACCTGCAGATAGCTGTGACCAAGTGCATGGAGCAGCACTGCAGGCAAGCAAGAGGGTGGGGAAACCGCATGCCAGGCACCGGGGAAAACGCAGGGAGTGAGCATCGTCTCGTTGTGTCCGGGAGGCAGGAGACGGGATGGGAAGGCTGTGCAAGGGAGAGTGGGGCATGTGCATTGCGCCCACGGCATGCCGTGCGACGCGGCGGCGCGTCAAAGCGACCGGAGCGGCAACCTTGGTACGCATTGCTCGCCTTCTGGCGTCATGACGAGGCAGTCTGTGGCCGCGACCTCCTCAGCCCAGCGCTGGACCCGCCAGCCCAACAGGCCTCTGCCCATCATGCCGCCGTGGAGGGGCACAGCCTTGATGCCGTGCTTCTTGATCAGGCAGTCGCATTGCTGGCGGGCATGGGTGGGATGTCGGGCGACGGCGCAGCCGCGGGCTGGTCAGCAGAAAGGTGCCGAGGCTGGCGCAGCCGCAACCTCGGCCCTTGCGGTGCAGCAGATTCAGGCGAATGCACCCGGGAATCAGGATGCTGGTTGCAATCCTGCAAAGGCCTCAGACGTTCTCAGAAGCACTGGCAGGGGTGAGTTACGCACACTAGGTCTCCAGAAACAACGTGATCACACACCTGCTCGACAAGGGGGTTGGTGGGTGCCAGAAAGACAGCGGCCTGGTGGGAAGGTGCCGCCTCGACGCGCCGCCTGATGACCTCCGCGGCGATGCGCGTCTTGCCGCTGCCAGTGTCCAGCACAACTGGAAGCCGGTCATTGGATTAGGGGGTTTGTTGGGGGCGGCGGCGGTGGTGTGACCGTCAGCGCTGAGGTGGGGGTCGATGTGGGGTCAAGCCGCCCTTGGCCCACCGGGAACAAGGCCGGGGCATGCCCGCATGCAGGCAGGGTGGCAAGACGCGAAGCCAGGCGGGTCCCCGCAACTGGCGGCTTGTGCTAAATTGCACAGTTTGCGCGCATCCAAGGTTGGACGGCCGGCGGCGGGCCAGCGGCCCGCGCATGCGCTCCCAGCCCGCCTGCGTGCGCGCGCCTGGCGCACCGAGGGTGTCCCGCTGAAACGCGACCTGCACAAGACGACTCTGATAGTCTGTGGGGCGCCGCGGTTGGGGACCGGGGCCAGCGTTAGGTTCCACACTGGCACTTTCAGCGGTGCAGACAGGGACTCCTTTCGCGCGCCGTGCGGCACAGAGCATGCACACGCAGGCACTAGGCTAGGGTCCCACGTATATCTCAACTGCGCACCTCGGAGCGGCCCCTCGGACTCCCCCATGTCGCCAGGCCCAGCGCCCCAGAACCAGCGCGGCAGGGCACGGGTGTTGCCTCGGGTCGTGCGCAGGCGAAAGGGGCTGCGGCGGGCAACGGCGGATGCTAGGGGCGAGGGAGGGGCGGCGCTCCGATGCAAGCAACGCACTGCACCATTGAGCAGCGGGATCATAAGCGCAGTACATTTCATCCTTGCAACTTGTATCGCACCAGGGTTGCAGCAGGCGAGGCTGCATCGTCCCGTGCTTCCCACGGCCAGCGTTTCGTCACCTAGATCATACAGCCACAATGCCTGATGAATCTGATGCTACGCTTGACGCTTGAAGTTGAAGAAATTTAGATACATCCTCGGTAGTATGTGATCACGGCATTCATGAGCAGTCACCTTGGCTGTCCGTCGGGAGCGGGTAGATGGAAAGGAACTCGCGATCTTACAATCCGCAAATCAGAAGCGACATCAGCCAACAAACATCAGACGCAAACGCGCATGAAGGGCCTCTTGCGCACGGTTGGCAGCACATGCTAGTCAACACTGGTCAACTGGGCCGATGTAAGAGCGAAACCTGGCAACTGCCACCCCCACCGCATCTTTCAAACGGCGAGTGGGGGGGGGGGGTACAATAAGCGCCAACTGCGACTCGCGCGGGGCCCAGCGTGTCACTTGCAGTGAGGATGCTTGCACAGGGCAAGCGAGGCACATGAGCGGTTGCAGCACCAGGAATGTGGCGAGGACGACATTCTGCGGAACTCAGTATCAGAGGCTCCTGCTGCTTGCAGAGGGGACAGAAGGCGCAGTCGTTTTGACGAGCAGCCTGCCTTGGGAATTCGGACAAACTCATTTGTCAGGGCGAGCGACGTCATCCGAGGGGACAGGGGCGCCAGCTGATGACACCTGTTTGACAACGGCGAGCTACGAGCGAGATGCGGTGGTGCCTCATAACGTCAGTCTGTAGCCTGCCAGCACACAACCGCATGGCGCCACCATCCCTCAACAAGAATGCTTGTCCTCACATGCACCATATTAGAATCCAGCTAGAGGCATCACTGTATGCAAGACTACAAAGCCTCCTGTCCGACAACTGTCGCTAGCAATGGGCTCAAAGCCGTCAGTAATCAGCACCACCACGGTTTTGACAGGAAGCACCTCGCTGCCTAGGTGTGCTGCACCGGGGGCCCAACAGCTTGCGTGGCTACGGATGCTCTGTGAAAGTGGACCTGCAATGTGAGTTTTCCCAGAACGGGCCGGAGGCTCCCGGATCTGGGGGGTGCTCCGTTGATTGAATTCCGCGGCGAGTCATCCGCCTGCTGGACGCAAGCCCGTTCTCTGGGTGCTTCCCTCTGCCAAAAGGCAGGGCTCAGTAGTGGCCCCTGAGGTTCTCACAGAGGATGACCGTCAACAATGACACACAGACAGTTATCGTTATTGTGGTGGCAGTTCGGTCACCCTCAAACCAGTAAAGCTGCAGGGTGAAGGCGGCTGCCGCGCTCGTCATTCGTCCCGTGCAGCTGGGCGTGGTCGACGCCCGCGCTCGGAAGGGCACATGGCCCGGAGCAAGAGGCAACGTCAATGACTCAAGGGCTCTTGAGCGCAACTTTTTCTTTCACGAGGCTGTCACAAAGCGCGATCGTATGTCAAAGACCGCGGGCAGGCAAGGACACGAGGAGTTGGCTTGCACTTCACACCGCTTCAAGCATCGCCTCGTTGTAATTTACTATCGTGACGTGTGAAAATACACAGCTATGGAGGCGTCTGGACAAGAGTTCACAGCATGGCGATCGAGCGAGGGCAGCGACAAGGTGGGGCATGGTGGCGTCAGATACATGAGACTTTTAGGCTCATTGTGGCCTCAGGCTGGCCGGTCGGCGGGCACGCTGCCATTGGGCAACGGGGACTGAATGCAGGGCGCAGCGCGGAGCATCGCGCGGCCGATTCTCGCTGTCCTCGATCCTGTGACGCAAAGCATTGCTTGTGGGTCATGGGGCATCGCGCCGCGGGCTCTGCAGCGCGGTGGCTAGCTTGGACGCCATTCGTCGGACGCTGTGGACCGCGCCTCCGTTCGCACAACCCGTTCAGTCGCGCGTGTGCTCGTCTAACGACCAAATCACACGTTGACAGCACTCGCCAACCGCAGCCTGCGGGGATGCGCACACACGCGGCGATGCCTGACCCGCGGCAGCGCACTCTGCACTGCGCCCCACGATCTTCGCTGCCGCCCCGCCGCGCCCCGCGCGCCCCAGGTCATGGCCGAGTACATTTTCATCGTGGAAGGCGTCCAGCTGCAGTCTAAAACCGTCGTCCTGGAGGGCGGCCGCCCGCGCGGCGCGGAGGCGCTCCCGCCGGTGGAGCTGCAGACAGATCACGGGGAGGTCTACCTGCAGCCGCGGTCGATATACGCCGACCCGCTGCGCGGCGGGGAGCACGTCTTGGTGCTGTGCGACGCCCACGTGCCGCCGCAGGTGATAACGGGGCGCATCAGTGCCGGTTTGGCACGGCGCAGCACGGCGAACTGCTTCGCAGGGCGGCCGCATTGCAGCGCGGCGGCTGCCGTCGCCTGGCCAAACGCACTCGGTGGCATGTACGGCGTCCCGTCGCGCCTGGAATTCGGTTGCCGCATGCACGCTGTGAGCGACTTGCGGCCCCGCATCTCCCTGTCCGTCGCTGCCCCCACCCACACCGCCCCACCGCCACCCGTCCTCATCACCTCCCTCTCCCCCCAGTTTGGCACCGGCCAGCTCTACCCCCACCCCCACGAGACCAACATGCGCGCCCCCGCCGCCGAGGTCGCCGCCGCCGCGGCCCCCGCGGCGCCGGCCTTCACAGTCGAGCAAGAGTACTCTGTCCTCGACCCCTTCACGGGCCTGCCCCCAGGCGTCTTCCCGCCCGGCGTGCCCATCT